TTGGTGTCCACTGCAGCCAAAATATCACAGTGATTACAGATGCTTCCAGTTACCTATGACACCAATCTCTGCAGCATTATCTACCTCAAAGTGGTTGCACAGAACAACTCATTTTCACATCTAATCATTGTGCAGTCAAGTTGTACTTGTTGCCCTTGCAGCCTGTGGCAAGAGACCTTTGGCAGTTTGCTCTTTTTATTACAGAACTTGCGCAATAGTAGCACCCTATTGTGTTTACCTTTTGCAGCCTGTACAGAGCAAAATGACAGGCAGCAGAGTTCAAAGGTTTGAGATTAGTTGGTGTTTTGAAAGCAAAGACATATAAAAGGGTGGTAGGGAAAGCTGAAATATTCCACCGCAATCTAGGTTTAATGATTGTCAAGTTAAATTTATGGACATTGTTTACTTCCTATGTCCTCAGAAGATCCAGACTAATGCCTTTTTAATGAAGACACCTTCTTCTTTCGGGTAGCCAGCATTTCATAGAATGGGTCTTTGCTGATGGCAGCTCTGCATAAAAGACAAACAGGAATGAATGAAGCTGGTTACATACATCTGATCATTCAGCATTATTGAAATTATAGTTACATCCATTTCTAAATGTAGTTGTTTTTTTTTTTTTATAAGGCTGACTTGAAATTTGTCTAGATCTTTTTGAATGTTTTTGAACAAATAAATATATATTTGTTACAAATATATGGTATATTAGGTCCCCTATGCACAGGTAATTTCCACCTAATTTGAAGTTACATTCTAGGATCACCAGAACCCACCAACAGAGATGGTCTGAGGACCCTCCTAAGTTGAGGAGATATGGTCTGCCCAACCTATTTGTGCACTCCTCCCTCCCTTTTTGTATCAACACACTGATGAAACTGAAGAACTAAAACTGAAGAAAGCCCCATGTTCCTGCTGTGACAGTGCCCCTTCACCTTGTATAAGAGCAAGGACCTGGATTTCGCAACGGCTGATACTTCTGGTTTGCATGTGGCCATTAGCTCCTGTGGCCATGCACTCCATGATAGTTAACAGGAGGATTGATAGCATGTGCACGGGGGTGCAACATGATGCGTTTATTGTTAAGGCCCTCACATGATAAAATGACACACGGGGGCATTGCATGTGATGGCATTGGGGAACACCCTAGGTTGTCATTAAGGGCAAAGTGGGCAGACACCCTGTCTCACCTGCATTTCTCCCCCTTGGCTGAGGATACAAGGGCACACAGGCTTAAAAGAGAACTATGGGGTAAGTGTTTTTCCCCATAGTTCTCTTTAGCGTCACTGGAGGACATATACTAACCTCCTCCCATTACCCAAAGCTCAGTATATAGCAGGCTATTGTCCGCGATATACCGAGAGCACCGCAGCTGGGACGGATCCCGACAATACTGTCGAGATCCACCCAGCTGCATGAGTGACATCTGACTCTACCTATCTAGAGGCAGAGCCAGCTGTGCCTGCCCCTTTCGCTGTTCATTCCTCCACTCAGCGCTGGAAGATCGGAGGGAACCCCTGCGGGGAGCGGTGACTGACAGTCGCGGGGAGCGGTGACTGACAGTCACCGCTCACTGCAGGGAGACGATCGGTGCATGTTTCTGCTCACTTTCCGATCCATAGAGCCGACCTGTGACAGCTTCTTTGTCACAGGTCGGCTCTAACTATGGAGGATGAGTGGAAATTAGTCACCTCATAGTTCTCTTTTAAGACAAAGCTAGTACAGGCTTCCAACATCAAAAACTTTGAAGTTGGAGACTTAATAGTGGGGAATTAGAAACCCGTTCCAATGGGAGTTAGTGGGGGGACTCATCATCCCTAACCATGCCTGCTTGCCCCATAGCTCTTCAAAGACTTGGAGACAACCAGTGTGCTCCACAAAGGTAGACAGTGGCCAAAGGTTTTTGTAAGTACTTTTGCATATATGAAGCAAGGCTTGTTACAGACATGTGATGATTATAAGACCGGTAGTGTTCGATATATTCTTTATGTGTCTATGATTAGATAAATAATGTTTGTGTCATGTTTGCCCTTATGATGATGATAACAAAGATCTTTGGCATGGTCCGATGCCTTACCCAAAAGGAAATACCGTATGTAATATATACTGCATTTTAACAGTCCTGACATGTGGTGATGGCATTTGTTTTCTTTTTTCTCAGGTTTCTATCCTCTTTATCGTCACCTGGTGATTCTGCCAGTAAGACACCGTTAGAGTGACATTGCTCGCTCTCTGCACTACATCTTTAGAGGAAAGGTGTTGCCAGTCTACAAACTTTCCTCCCTCTACTAATCTCTATTACAAAAGGAGGGAGTTGTTTCACAAAAGAAAGCTAGGAAAGCTGATAACATTGTTTAGGATATCACTTCAGAGCGCAGGAAGTTACAAGGACCCTGGATTTATGGTAGGATCAACAGATATATTTCTCTCAGAGATTGTAAGCTCTCACGGGCAGGGCCCTCCTTACTATCTTGTCTTGAATTGTATTGTAATGTCCCTATATTGTAAAGCGCTGCGCAAGTTGCTGGCATTATATAAATCCTGTAAAATAATATTTTTGCAGAAAATGTTCTTAGATTTGGTAGAAATGCTAGCTTCTTTTTTAGACTAAGGACTGGTAAGCTGTACTATATTTCTATTAGCAGTAATGTCCCTTAAAGCCACACCCATAGTTTTCCTCACCATACAAAAAACACACTACTTGTATTATCTGTCTTTTTAGCATATAAAAAAAAAAACGAAAAAAAATGTGGACACTGGACAGCACTGCTCTTGAGCATTTGTATACTTCTACTTTATAAATGCAGTTGGATGCATCAGTGGATGCCACTTACATTATGCTTTTTATCCACTCGTCCTTTTCTTCTGCTGAAGGGGCAGAGATGCGATAAACTGTGTGATTACCCTCTACCACTCTTCCATCAGCCTCTGTCTTGCATGCTTTGATCACCTGGTCTTTGTTGTCTGGTATAAAGAGCTCAAAAGAGTTCTAAAAAGAAAAGAACAGCAAAGAAAGACAATTCTGTGAGGAATAAGTAGCAGGTACTGAGGAAAGGAGAAGGATCATGATAATTGCTGGGCTGGTTTTCAGTGAAGTTTGTAAAGAAAAGGATTGTTAAAAGCAAATCCAGGCAAAAGTAAACAAAGCATAGAATGCAATAAAAGGAGCCTCCCATGGGGTCAACTTTGCAAAAGTGATATGTATTTTCAGCACAGCTCTGCTGTAATCGCACTAGGAGTGTGGATGATTGTACCGACATCATATCAGGGATCTGTGTAAATGATAATCCAGCACTCATTAAAGTCACTAAACTTTCACCGCAATGGAACAACACTTTATTCTTAAAGTGACACCAAACTCAGGAGTTAAGTACCTTAACTATTAGCAATACTGGACCTTATTTGTGCATGACTCAGTTGTAGATCCTCAAATCATCTCTGTATTCATATGGACACTGTTCTTCCTTCTGGAGGGTGGCTACTTTTGTTCCTCATGGTCCCTGTGTGTGTTGTAAAGTAGACACCGCTCCAAGCCTGCTACTGTGATGGACTACAATTTCAAGTTTAGTTTACTAATTTGTACTGAGATTGTAGTCCATCACGGGAGCAAGCTTAGAGTGGTGGCTACTGTACAACACACAGAGGGACCATGGGGAACAAAAGTAGTCACCCTCCAGAAGGAAGGACAGTATCAGCACCAATTCAGAGATTATTTGAGGATCTACAGCCGAGTGATGCACAAATAAGATAAATTTTTGTTGATAGTTAAGATACCTGAATGCATTATTAAGATTTAACTGCAGAGTTTAGTGTCACTTTAAAATGAGCTTAGCTTTACTGCAACTGCAGGAATACATCACCCTGACTGTACCATGTTAGCCTCACTTTACTTTTTCGAATTCCTAAATCCACTCCAATGCTAAACTAGCTCTTTATGGACCCAGAAAACCATGAATGCCACAGATCTCAAAAAACATTTGCATGAAAAAAAAAAAAAAGGTTTAGTACCATTGTGTAAAACCATCAAGCCATTAAATGGAAAAAAAATGCCTGAAGGTCTGGTGGGTCCTAGCGTTACTGAAGTGTGCTGTGAACTCCAACAAGATGATCATACAGACCGGTTTTACTAAAAGGACAAAAGCCATTATTGATGCATCTCTCAAGTTTTCCACATTCACTTTACTGAACACAAATTATGGAAGGTTTATACACTACACTGGGTTTGATCATGCAAAGAAAACCTAGGCTTTTCATATGGACAGGTTGAGTTTTACTCATTGTCCAACAATGCTTGTAATTATTTCAGGAAAGACCTTTGCACAGATTCAAAACAACAGAGAAGCGTTATACAAACTGAGCCTAGTCTGCTCTATACTGTGCTGCTGTCACAAGGATAAAATGTGCTTCATCAAATTATTTTCCATGAGAAAACTCACAGGCTTCTTAGAATCCTCAACCTCCCGTATACTGAGGTTCTCCAATGGTATTATCCCACGGGGCTCCTTGTCCTACAAAACAAAGTGTAATATTCAATATCAAAACTGCAGGCATTACAGTGAATCCAAAAGCTAACTCAGTTATTGATGTCTATAAATGAAGTCGCAATACATATAATAGAAAGTATATCGCAACACAAAAAAAATTTCTTATGTAAAGATAAAGATGTAAAAATAAAGGGTTTAGGATATAACATGCCTATACACTTTAAAACTGATTTTAATATTTAAATTACAACAGAGCTGATTACATTTTACAGATAACAACAGAACCTCAGAGAGTCAGATTAAAGATCCTGTGGAGGGAATTTTGAATTTCTAGGACTCTGGCCTGTGAAAGAGTCCATTAAAAAAACAAAACAAAAAAAACAAAAAAAAGAAGAAGTATAAAAAACAGCACTGTGACTCAGGACAGTGCACACACATATCGCCCCCGCACCTCTACAGTACCACAAATACAAATCGCCTACAAAAAAGGTGGAAATGGGATTAAAAGGTGCCCATAACCTGCCGATTTCACGCGATTATCGTACGATAATTGACAGGTGTATGGAATAGAAGGCATGGGACCGTTTCTACTGTACGGTCGCACGTCTTTCGCCTCACGAGCAGGCTCGAAAATCCGCCGAGAATTGTGCGATTCTCGGGTTTGTTGCCTGCCCGTAAGACAAATGCCGCACGGGCCGGTGTGCGCAAGTGCACACTGCCTGTTCAGCATTGCAGTCATCAGAAGCCCGCCCCTCAGCGGGGCGGGCTTGCGATGATCGCAAGTACAATCTGCCTGTCCAAGATGGGCAGATCGTACGTTTTTTTAATTACCTTACAACCATCGCAAGACAAAAGTTTTGCGATGGTTGTAAAGTGTATGGCCAGCTTCAGAGAGGTTCTAACCATTGACACCTAATCTGGAACACCCGATTCTAATTTCATGGATCTAAAGTGATGGTTAATGTAGGGATGTACTTTTCTCACAATGCAAATCTGCATTTTTGATCACTTGGATTATGAGAATTAATATACTTATGTGTCATTTGTTCAAGTGTATCACCTTGATCTGTACACACTGTTTGAATGACTAATGTTTGCCTACTCACACATGTTGAAAATGTCAACAATTTCCACAGTTTTTCACATGACTGTATACCGTGTGTACCACTAAACTCTGAGCCCAGTGATGCCCTGCGCACACACTGAAGCATGAAAGGGAGGCTGAAGAGTACAGGACACAATGACAAGAGGCTACGGCCCTGACCTGAAAAAGTGTTAAAATCAGAAACTGAAGAAAAAAAAAAAAAAATCATATGAACTAGAGAGAAAGCTAAATCAAATGGATTTTCTCTCTTTAGCACAGCTAATATGTTTTCTGGATTGCATTTAATTGGGTTGACCAACTGATTTTGTTTCCTCAAGTTTCCCTTTACTTTTGTTTTAGGGATATGTATGGTATCTTTCAGATGAGCCTATAATTAAGGTGTAATGGCCCACTTTCAGTATTTTGCTTGAAGGTAGAAAAAAAAGCACATGAACCAAGATGTGATGGCAGACTTGCTGTGACTTGTGCAGTACGAGTAAAATTCTGGTCAGTTTACATCACTGCCTAAAGCAAGTCCTCTGTACATGTACCGAGCTGAAAGGATCACTTTTCTAATTTAAGGGGAAGAATCCTCTAAGAATTCCATTGCAAATGAGAATGGAGAGGAAGAATTTCTATATCAACAGCCCAGTTGAGTGTTGCTTCTCAAAGCAAGAGCTTTTTGAGTCTTAAGGTTTAGCATTATGTTATTTGTGGTTATGCAAGTTTTCCTTATCTATACAAAAGTACCTCAGGGGTGTCTTTACCTCCAATGGATCTGTGAAGCTGCCTGTGGAATTCAGTCAGTACCCAGACTTGGTCAGTTGTTTTACATGCTTACTATTGGTTCTTAATATACAATGTAAAATTCTGGTCATAATAAAGCCCATCTGAAGTTGCTTTCCCGGTGACAACCCTTTAGTCAGGACTCTAGCTCTATTTCATCATAATACGCCTTTCTAATGTACATTTTGCTGGTGACAAATCTCCCTCAAATGTTATGCCTGTCCATACATATGTGCAAAATATCACATTCAAAAACATTCATCTCACCGTTGTGTACTCAAAATAGTACAGGCAGTTGTCAGTCAGAATAAACCATCGTCTTTTCCATGTTTTAACACGACCTCCTGAAAAGGCCAATAGAGGGGTAAATGGCAGTTGCAGTAAAAAGAGTTCAAAGTGTAAAAAGCAGTAGTAATACAATATGCAGCTAAGGTTATGCAGCAGAATTTGACTGAATAGCTATTAAAAAGGTGACATGCAATAGCAAACATCTGACACATCAAAGCAAAAAGGGACTTGCACCTTTAAAAAGGAATACATTCGAAATGTATAACGGCAGGTGGAACATGGCTGTAACCGCTTTCCACCTTCAAAACACAGAACACTCACATATATACAGTATGTGCACAATGAACCGGTGCACTCAGTATAGCATACTGTATGTTCTTAGAAAATGAACAGGCTGTAAAAAAAAATTATATATATATATATATATATATATAGCAAA